TCTTCCCTATTCTAGTGAATCAGGAGTTACTTCTCAGTTTGAGCATTTGTAAAGGAGATATTAACTAATAAGGACATTGTCTAAATAATTAAAAATTTTAAAAAATTTTATTGAAGTATAGTCAGTTTACAATGTTGTGTCAATTTCTGGTGTACAGCATAATGTTTCAGTCATACATATACATACATGTATTCCTTTTCATATTCTTTTTCATTATAGATTACTACAAGATGAATATAGTTCCCTGTGCTATACAGTATAAACTTGTTGTTTATTTTATACATATTAGTGCCTGCAAATCTCGAACTTCCAGTTTGTTCCTTCCTACCCCTTTCCCCCTAGTAACCGTAAGTTTGTTCTCTCTGTCTGTGAGTCTGTTTCTGTTTTGTAAATAAGTTCATTTGTGTCTTTTTTTCAGATTCCACATTAAAGTGATATATGGTATTTTTCTTTCTCTTTCTGGCTTACTTCACTTAGTATGATGATCTTCATGTCCATTCACATTGCTGCAAACGACATCTTATTCTTTCTTTAAGGCTGGGTAGTACTCCATTCTATAAATATACCATAACTTCTTTATCCAGTCATCTGCTGATGGACATTTAGGTTGCTTCCAAGTCTTGGCTATCGTGTATAGTGCTGCTACAAACATTGGAGTGCACGTCTCTTTTTAAATTAGAGTTTTTGTCTTTTCTGGTTATATGCTCTGGCATGGGGTTGCTGGGTCATATGGTAACTTTAGTTTTAGTTTTCTAAGGAATCTCCGTAGTGTTTTCCACAATGGCTGTACCAACCTACATTCCCACCAACAGTGTAGGAGGGTTCCTTTTTCTCCACACCCTCTCCAGCATTTATTGTTTATGGAGTTTTTAGTCTTGGCCATTCTGACTGGTGTGAGGTGAGGTAATAACCTCATTGTAGTTTTGATTTCCATTAAATAATTAATTTTAAAGTGATGATCTCTACTGGTATAGTTGACTGATAAGCTTAGATTATTTAAATGTATGACATTTGTTAATGACATTAAAATTTTTCAGTGGTTTCTGGGGTTTGGGAAAATGATTTTAAACATACTTTCATCATTCACTGATGCTAGTGCAGCATAACTTACTCTTAGTTTGCATAAATAATCTATGTGCATTCTTCAGGAAAGGGAAACATCTTTGCTAAAGCTCTTCACAGTGCCTAGATGAATTTGGAAGTAAGCTGTTAGTTCTGGTTGATTTAATCAGCTTCAGAACTGTCTGCCCTTACAGACAGGATGACAGTATTGCAATTGTGATGTTTTTAGTACCATGGGAGGAGATCCAGAGGGTCCTGGGAGGTGAGTGCAGATGACTCCTAAGTTCTTTGCGGACAAAGAAGTAAAAGCTTGTTTCTTGGGAAACATTTCGATACTGTTATTTATACAAAGAGGCAGAGAGCAATACAGCTGGAGAATTAAGTAGCGAGATGAGCACACAGATGGGTAAGAAAGCACTGCTTTGCCAACTGGATAACATCTGCCACATCAGAGTCAAGTTAAATACCTAACAAGCTAAACAAAAGTCCCAGTAGTGGATGATCTCTTGATTTTTCTAAGTAACAGAAGACCCAAACTAAGTAATGTTTTAAGTGAAAACCAGAGATAAAGTTAAGAAAAATATCCTCCTCTAAACATATGGGAATATACAGTTAGAATTAAGGCAGTCAGGAATATGAGAAGAAGGTTTATAGAAAACCTAAATGGTGTATTAACCCTGGCAGTGGATTGTGGTATAAAAAACAGCAAATTTGTCTTCCTCTTAAAATTGCAGTAGTTTATCGGATTATCAGTAGTGCTTACAAGGCAAAGCATACACAATTTCTTTTTTCAGAAACAAAACAAAAATATATTGGTCACCCGTTACAGATCCATGACTGTAAAAAAAACTTTTCTTTGAGATAGGTTTACTTGTAAAATGCTCTGAGTTACCAATATTATTAAGATGCCCTTCTTGCCAAGATTTCTTTTCTTGAGCCTCTCTATATTTTATATTACTGTGGCCTGGGATGTCTTTCTGAGACAGTGAATCCAATTTGAGTTTTAGTCACAGTGACAGAAATTAAAATGGCATCAAATATCCAATCTCTATTTCGTTATCCTCTGACTTTGAGGGAAAAAAAAATTCCTCAGCTGTGCAATTTTACTTCCATCATTTGATGTTTCATTATTGAGGAACTGTAATTTAAGTCTTTTGAAGAGCCTTAATATATTAAAAAGTTTCTGTTGTCTTACTGATGCATTAAAAGTAAAGATTCATAATGTTTTATTCCAATTACCACAACTGGATGAGATGGTGACAGCAAGTCTGCACCATTTTTCAGAAAGTTAGTTGGCAGTATTTATTGGGTGCTCACTGTGTCTCAGAATTCTAGGTGCTAGTGATTCCAGGGAAGGAATGTGTGGTGAGAGGTTGGCAGTGTCCCAGGTCTCGACAAGTGAGGGTCCTTGGCTTTGGATAGGAAAGAATTCAAGAGTGAGCCACAGTTGAGTAAAGGTAGATTTATTCAGAGAGATACACACTCCATAGGCAGAGTGTGGGCCATCTCACTCAGAAGGGAGAGCGGCCATGAGGAGCGGTGTTGCCAGTTTTTATGGGCACAGTAACTTCATATGCTAACAAGTGGGAGGATTATTCTAGCTACTTTGGGGCAGGGCATGGGACTCCGAGGAACTGGGCCATCACTCACCCTTTGAACTTTAATGGTCAGCCTTAAGACTGTCCTGGCACCTGTGGGAGTACCAGTTAGCAGCTATTGTATTTCAGTGAGTGTCTGCTGAAGCTCAAGGTCTACTGGGAGTTGAGTCTTCCACCATCTTGTTGCTAATTGCTATGTCATTCTTTTAATGGTTGTGTCCTGCCCCCTTCCCTCCTATCTCACTAGGAATAAAGCTGTAAAAAGGACAAGGACCCTGAGCATAGGAAGCTTCATTTTAGGGAAAGGAGAGAAAAATAAGCCAAACCATTTCAGACAGTGCCCAGTGCTGGGGGAAATAGCACAGAGGGGTGTGGTACAGGGTGTCTGGGGGACTACTTTAGATTGAGTGGTCAGGCAAAGGCTCTTCAAGGAAGCAACATATAAATAGAATTAAATAACAAGGAGCCAGTTATATCAAGAGCTGAGGCAAGAACCTTCTAGGCAGAGGCCAGAGCTTGTGCTAAGGCCCTAGGGCAGGAATAAACTTGATGGGGACAAAGCATGGAAAATATAATGCATATGTAATGAAGTTACTGATTGTGTTACAGGTCCTTAAGAGGACAGTACTAAAAGTAGAAAAACCAGTCCTTTGGAGGGCAATTAAATTCAAAGTATCCAAGCGTAGTACTGATCATTGCTGTGACTGCAAGAATAACCAAGGCCAGCAGACAAAGGCCCAGATGTTACAGAATGACTGAAGTTAATTCCTGAATTAATTCCAATTATTCTTGGCCTAGACTCAAAGCCAACAGAAGAACGCCATCCAAATGGACTCAAAGGGTAGAACAATTTTGCACTGATTGAACGTTAGGAAGTAGGCAGACTATAACGTCACCACTGCAAAAGGCAACAGCTTGTAACAACTCCTTTCTCTCTCTTTTTTTTAAAGCTTTCCTGAAAAAGCACTGCATGAATGTTTCATAAAATATCTTTTCTCATTGCAATATTGTAAGCAGAGAGGGTAGGGGGTCCCTGGAGAAAGAGAACCAGGCATGCCTTTCTTAACAGAAGAGAAACCATTTTTGGCTTAAGCCATTTTGTGATCTAAGCCTGGCCACAATGTTCGCCCTTGAGCAGGTCTCAGTAATTGAGGGAATGCAGGGACAAAGGAAAAACAGTCCAGAAACAATAGTTCATCAATAAAACAGAGCCTTAGTTCCTCCTCAAGGGATATACATAACAATCTGATACATCTCTTTGAGTTCTGTAGGACCTAAGGCCTCCACCCAGGTAGAGGATGGTAACAACATGCTGAGACCCCAGATTGGTCAGAATCTGAGAGATGATGATTTTGACCTTTTCTGACCCTCAGGACTTCAACCAACTGAAGCCTGGACTCTGGCAACCTTTGCCCCAAATCCGTGCTAAATTCTCTCTGCTCTAGCCCCTTCGTGAATATGCATGTACCCGTAGCTTAAAACTTCCCCACGTTTGCTGTTGGGGAGACACTTCTTTAGAAAGATCTCTGCTGCTCCCCTTACTTGCTGCAAGTAGTAAAACCACCTTCTCCTGATCTTTGACTTGGTTGTGTCTTTTAGCACATCACCCACCAAAGGTGAACCTACTGTTTCAGGTAACAGTATTGGTCAGTAAATAGTCATATTTATCATTAGTCAGGGAAATGTGTCCTAACTTTCCATTCCCCTCCCAATCTAATTATTTTAGATTAGTTTTGAATAAAGTTTTCATACTCATGAAGTTATTTATCATTCTATTCTGATTTTTTTCTTTCTTTGTTTTTTGTTTTTTGGTGTGGGTGGTAATTAGGTTTATTCATTTATTTATTTAACAGTGGAGGTACTGGGGATTGAATCCAGGACATCCTCCATGCACTCTGCCACTGAGCTCTACACCCTCCACCCCATTCTGATTTTTCATAGGTAGTTTCAAAGCTTTTGCTAAAAAGTTGTCAAGCGCTAGATTTAAAATGATTACTACTTGTTGAGGCTCAAAGTCTAGAAAACCGAAAGAAAATGAGATGCTGTCTTGGTAGTTTCCCTCTTAAATTAGTAATGACACTATAGAAAGGCAATTTAAGCTAAACCTTTTGCAGTATTACGTTGAAGCCCTGAGGCTAAATTGATGTGTGAAAATTTGGAGTGTCCCTTTCCCTTTATACTCATCTTGCCCCAAGATGAGAAGTTTAATGTGAAAAGAAATCACTTTATTAAAGGGAGAGATGTTGGTAGACCTTTTGCTACAACTTAGGGATCATAGGACCCTAATTGTTGGCTCCAGAAGTCATCGATGTAAGTGACTTAAAGGGCTGGCAGGAAATGCCTAAGGGGCTCATTCCTGTGCTGGGTGGGATTTGGGAGGAACCAACTGCTCCAAGATACTAAGTTACAGTCTCCCTTGGGATACCAAAATCCTCTGATGCTCAAGTCCCTTATATAAGAGGTTGTAGTAGAATAGTCAGTTATGCGTATCCTTCGGTTTCACATCCGCAGATTCAAGCAGCCGTAGGTGGATTGGTCATATCCACCAATCTCTTGGTGGAATCTGCAGATGCGAAACCCATGGATACCGAGGGAGGTCCGACCCTATTCAGTTTGAAGAAGCCTTTCCTGAACGCCGGACGGCTTGGACTCGTCAAAGACTGAGGACCAAGAGAGTGGCGCTCTGCATTCTAGGCCTTCCGTTTGGAGGTAATTAGGCACTCTAGGCCCAGGGTCACTTCTGTAAGAACACTGTGGGTTTTTTAACTTGTTTAGGGTTGTTCGACTTGAAAGCCTGTGGTTTAGTAGAGAAAGCAGTTAATTCTTATCGTGAAAAGCCAGCGTGTCTGTCTTCAGGGCCCGCCAGACTCAGGGTGGGCAGTTGAAAATCCCTAAGGAGGGCCGCCTCTCTTGCTCCCTAATCTTCAGAGACGGCCCACAGTCTGTGGAGTGTGTACCTACTTCTGCTTTAACCGGAGCATCCAACCCCACATCTCATGGCCTCTTGCCTTCGGAATCAGCCTACACTCTATGCAGTGTGTATCTCTCTAAATAAACTTGTTACCGGGAAAAGGGAAATAAGAATTACCTTGGTTCCTAATCACCCTAAAAAAAGAATTTTTAATGGGAGACAGAAAGTGTGATATAAGCAAGATTTTTATTAGTAAATAAAAAGGTAGTAAAAGATAGTTCCCTCCCAACAACGGGGAGCGGGCCAATCCTAGAGAGGAAAACTGGTGTGCGCCTCTGCTTTTCTGTTTTATATCCTGGCTTAGGGGCGGTTTTGTGATTGGTTGTTCAGGTTCTTTGAGTGACCAGGTTGATTGACAACTCAGGTTCCTTGTGTTCTGGCACACCCATTCCCTTTTGGTCAGGTTCATTGGGTCAAGTCACGCCGGGTCCTTCTCTTATGCACAGCTGCAGCATTTTGATTTTAACTGGCTGCTTTTGCTGGCCCTCGTTTAGAGAAAGTAAGGATTTCTGGAGTATCCTTTTCCTGAATGCAGACTTACTGTTATTTTCTGGGTTGTTCCTTTCCCCTTCCTCTCTCCCTGCCCAGTGCTCATTTCTATCTAAACTGCCTAACAAATCTACTTTTACTCAAAAAAAAAAAAAAAAGAAAAGAAAAGAAAAGAAAAGAAAACCCCTAGGGAGAAAAGCACTTTTGCTAGTGACCAGAAAAAGGACAACAAGGTGAGCTCCGAGGGACTTTGGGAGGAAACGTAAAGAAAAACAGAGCAGAGTTAATCGGCAGAGCGTGAAAACAGCTTCACCTATTGCGACTTTAGGGCAGTGGTTTTCAATCTTTGGAAGATGAGTGGCTTCCAAACCTCCTGATGCCCTGGTTGCACCCCAGACCAATTACACCAGCCTCTCTGGAAACACGCTGGTGTCAGTAATTTTTATAGCTGCTCAGGTGATTCCAGAATGCAGTCAAGGTTGAGACCCCTGGCTTGGAAACACTTCTCAAATTTTAACGCCCTCATGAATCACCTGAGGAGCTTATTAAAATGCAGGTTCTTATCCACTATGCCTGGGGCAGGGCCTGACAGCAGCGAGGCATTTCCGGGGCAGCTCCCAGAGTTACCAGTGTGGGGATGGGGGGCCGGGAGCTGGGCAGCACAAGCCCTGGGATGTTAACCCCGGACACCTGCTGGTTCTGCGCAGTGATTTCATGCTGCCTACCCTTTAGGCAGTGCTCAATGTTGGGGTGCTAGACCTTTTAAAATAGAAATCTTAAATTCCATTAAATTTAGAGTAAAACCTAAATGCGTGACTATGGCTTACAAATATTTTAATGTTATGGAGACTTCAGCCTGCCTCTCTGAACTCTCTCCACACTGTCCTCTGGCTCACCCTGCTCCAGGGCACAGTTCCTCTGGCTGCGCCTCACTCGTCAGACCTCTCCCCTCTTCAAGGTCTTCATTCCTGCTCTGCCGCCTGCTTGGAATACTTTCCCCTCTACAGCCTCATGGCTTGCTCGCTCCCTCTGTATTCAGCTCAGATGTCACCTCCTTAGCCTTTCCCTGATCCCCTGTTCTAAATGAGCCACCTCTTCCCACCTCACTATCTCATAACTCTCTCCCCCACATTCACTGACCACTTTGAAATTGGCCTGCCTGAGTGTTTGCTTATTGCTTTCCTCTCCACTTCCACAAGAATACTGGCCGTGAGAGAAAAGCTGCTGTCTGTCTGGGCCTCTGGTACACTCCCAGCTCCTAGAAAAGAGCCAGGCGCGTAGAGGAATAAACGCACACGAAATGAAAATGAAGAGGGGTGGGTATAGCTCTGGTAGAGCCCTTGCTCAGCTTGCAGGAGGCCCTGGGTTCAATCCCTAGTACCTCCATTAATAATAATTTAATAAAAAGAATGTTGGGAATATCATGTCTGTATGTGTGTATATATGTATAGAGAGAGAGAGAGAAAGAGAGAGAAATGGAGAAAGATTGTTACCCCAGAAGGTAAAGACCCTGGTTCTGGACATACCTAAAAGAGAAGTTTACAGTTGGGAGATGGTGTGTTGTGTAGTGAAAGATTTTTAAAGATTTATTTAGAAAAAGGAGAAGTGCACCTCCAAGAATGGGAGGCAGGCTGATCCAAGGGAGGAAAAGCAGCTGTTTTTGTCTCCCCTTTCTCTTACACCCTCGCTTAGAGATGTTCTCTTGATTGATTGACAGCTCATGTCCCTGGACTGCTTAGTCATGTTTGGCCCCTCTGCGCATGTCCTTACCCGTGGTGTACACAGAAAAACCCAGGGGGCTTCTAAACTGCAATGTTAATTTTCATACAATGAGCATTGGGTTGTGTCCGGTTAAGTTCTTTCTGCTACCTTGCAGTCGGCTGTTGGGTTTTAACCAGTTTCTTGCTGGCACTCATTTAGAAGAAATAAAGTCCCTTTATATTGGAGGTGGGCATAATGTCATCTTCCTGACCATCCTCCCTCACCTCCACCTATCTGCCTGATGCTCCCACTTATCTAACTACCTAAATGAATGAGAGTAGATTTTCAGTAAACACAAGCTTATTTAAGAGATTTTAACAATCTGGGTTTCTCTGATGGTGGTGATTCATATAATAGCAGTATTGTTGAAACAACAGGATTATCTATCAACTCATAGCCACAGAGAGCCTGACCTTGGCTCACATAGGATTTCTAATCCATGTTTTTAGGGGAAAAAAATTTGAATTCACATTTACAATAAGAAAGAACTTTACCTGGTTTATTTAAAAAAAAAAAGACTGAAACAAGATGGCTTTGCTCTTTTCAGGCCTTTTGTTTTGGTGAAAACCACGATCCATGGAAGTGATTACTGAGCTTGGCTCCTTGATGTGAAAGCTTTGGCATCTAGACCAATTGAATACTCAGCAAACAGTCACTTTGGCAGATTACAGGTAATAAGCAAGGAAGACATGCCTGTAATTAGATTGGAAGGTACAAATTCTTCCGTGGTTTTATGCTTTGATTTCTAGCCAATCTCTTAATTACTCTTCTTTTTCCCCCCAATTACTCTTAATTAAGTGCTAGTTGTACTTAATGTACTTGAGTTGGTGCTCTAAATGCTGTGGTTTTGCAGATTGTCCCCACATACAGATGACATTCACATTGTAACAAAATTCAATCTTAACAAAAGTATAAACAATGAAAATCAATCACCCTTTCATCTCTGACCTTTGTGGAAGATGATTAAAGAAGACAATTTAGGTGATACAAACTGAATTTAACACTTTATGAAGGGCCTCTGTTCCCAAGAGTCCAGAGAATTGCAAAATGGGGTACAAGGCAGGATGCTTTTCCAGGAATAAGAATCAAGGAAGTAAATAACTCAGAGTTGGCCTGGCTTGTGGTGATTGACTGACTGGATATTCTGCGTTTCTGGTCAAGTGGAGCATTTACATGAATATTATCTAAGTTTCAATTTGCTGACTTGGCACCTAAGGCAGGAGTGGCTCCGTCCTGGGCCTAGAAGTTATTTTAACACCTCAAACCCTAATTCCTCCTCAAGACACCACCACTGTTGTCAGTATCTTGTGTACCCTTACAAAAATGTCCTATGCAGCATCTGGGCTTCAGGTTATTAATCTGCAAAATAGGATAATAACAGTGTCTGTCTTATCAGGTTCACATGAGGATTAAATGCATCAATAAATTATTATGCATATGCTAGTATGAAGATTCTATATCAGTGCTGTCCAAATAGAAATATAAAGTGATCCACATATGTAATTTTAACTGTTTTCTTTCTTGTTTTTGTTTTTTCTGTTTTTTTGTAATTTTAATTTTCTAGTAGCCACATTAAAAAAAAACAAACGAAAAGCTTTTAGTAATATATTCTATTTACCTGAATATATCCCAAATAATATTTCAACAGGGAATCAACGTAGACATATTTTAATGTGATCATCTATAATCTTTATTGGTATGAATTATTTGAAACTTGGTGTACATTTCATGCTTACAGAACACCTCAACTGGAACTAGCCCCAACTCAGGTGCCTACAAGCTACACATGGCTGGTAGTTACTGTATTGGACAGAGCAGACTTACACATACTAGCCTATAAACTTGTCAATTTTTTTTTTACTCTATTCAAATAATCCTATCCCTTGCTTCCTTGGATGTTGTAAAACATTAATATTTTGGATAAATTTGGAGGGAAACAAATTGTGTTTAAGTGGTTTTAGAATTACAAAGGCCTACAACCAAAATTGATTTCTAAATGCTCAATCTGATGGAAAGAACAGGGCTTCTCATTGTTCTTAGGGAAAAGACTAAATTCCTCCCTGCAGACCTGCCACCAGGACTGGTCTGCCTTGCCTGCCCCCGGCTGGTTCTGCACCAACCTTGCTCAGGGTACCTGGAGTTCTTCCTGTGGGACCTTCTCTCCTGTGAGCCTTCTCAGCTCCCCCGGGGCTGCTTCCTCCCGCTCACCCCCAACATGCCCACCCCCAACATGCCTGCACTACCCCTTTGCCTGGTGAGTGAGGTAATAATCACTTTAAAGGGAAAAATATGTATCTTCTTGTGTCCAACTATTGATTTAAATTATTTTATGACAATATAAAATAGTACAAACATAAAATTGTTACTCCTTATGTTGACGGGTCATATGCAACATCACATCCAAAATAAAAACTAACTAAAAAGAGGAGAGGTGGGTATAGCTCAGTGGTAGAGTGCTTGCTTAGCATGCACAAGGTCCTGGGTTCAATCCCCAGTACTTCCATTAAATAAATAAACAAACAAACAAATAAATCTAATTACTCTCCCCCCCCAAAATTAACTAAAAAGAAAGAAATTATGTCATTACTAAGTATATAATAAAAAATAATCCCCCCCCCACTGTCTCAGACTTGCAATTCCCCTTCCCAAAGGGAAAATCTCTACATCTACATCTGCAGAGGTGTATAGGTTATTTATTTTTGCAAAGGTTTGCTGCATTCTTTTTCAGGTAGCAGGTCACATTACAAACTTGGTCAGGTAGATGCTGTTTTGTTGAAGTCCCATTTACGCAGGGCCTGCACCTGACTCCCAGGGCCCGGGGTCTATGGAGTCAGCATGACCGCTCCACAGGTGCCGTGCGATGACACAGTTCACCCACCGCTGCCCCCATGTGAACTACCGTGAAACCTTCATTCTTGCGGTGTTCATGGTGGGCATTTGATCTCTTGGCAGGAGTGCAGCACAGACATGTTAAGTCAGTCCCTGTTCTCTTCACACTAGCCTGAGGCAGTTACAGCAGTCCTGCTTGTGGCCAACTCAGTAAGAAACACATGTGTTTGACATGGGCTTTTGAAGCTTTGGGTAGAACTCAGTCATTAAAAAAAAAATCTAGAAGATGTTTCTGTTCATCTTTACGGTTGTCATCAAAATGAAAATGCAAAATTAAAAGAAGTCTTATACAGAACCTATGGGCCCAAGAATATCGTAGGTTGAGAAACACAAGCCTAGTTAGTTCTGTATTTATAGTCCTTAGCTCAAGTAAGATTTATGTGACAGTCCTCAACCCCCGCCAGACTAAGCCAGGCCCCTAGTTCTTGGGCAAGCCTAGATACCCTATTTTAAAAGTTCCTGAGGTTGCTGTGTGCAGCCTGGGTTGGGAATCCTGAATTAGTTCCAACATACTATAGTTCTTTGGATGTATTAGGCCTTGGCTTGAATTCAGTTTACAGTGATGGAGAGCCTAACATATATTCTAGCACTGGAACTAGTGATATGAGGAATATTTAGATATCCTGACATTGGTGACTTGTTGGCCAAGAGACACCTAGGTGACTTAACAGCTTTTTTTTTTTTTAAACACAATGGTAGCACAGAATGCTGCAAAAGGCAGACAAAAGTCATTCTCAGTCTGAAGTTTAGGGAAAGATTGCAGGAGGACATGAAACTTGAGTTGATCATTGAAGATTGGCTAGGAATTAACCAAGAAGGGAGGTCTGTAAACAAAGGACAGAATGTGTGAATGTCCAGGAACATGGGAAAACCAACTTCACTAGAATCCTGCAAATGCTTCCCAAAATTGCAACACAGCCGGATGAAATAGGGGTTGGAAGTCTCTGGAGAAGAAGCTATTATCCCAGCTCAGTGGCTGGGAGCTAGGATTTTTGAACTGGAAACATTTGGTTTAAATCTTGGTTTTGTCACTCTTTCTCTTTCTGTGACTCAAGAAAATTAATTAACTTGTTCACATTCAATTTCCTTATCTGTAATGTGGGGACAATAATACCTCTCTTATAAGGTAATTATAAAGGTTAAATGAGGCAAAATGAGGCGATATATGTACAACTCTTACTACAGTGCCTGATAGATTGTAACCAAAAAATATGCCGAAAAGAGCAGATTCATTGCAGCTTTGCCTTTGTTTTTTCAATTTTAATGACTACACAGTACTCATACTGTATTTAAAGCTTTCTTTTAATAAAAATTGTAATTGTCATTTTCACATATGAAAAAGTTAAATAATATAAAAGGATGTTTAGGGAGAAGTGTGCCATTCTCAAACTCAGATGTCTATTCTATGATTTGTTCTTAGAGGCAACAAGGATATACCACTTTTTAATGTGCCCTTTAGAGATATTCTGAAGCACATTTGAAATAGCAAAAAGTAAGAAATCAAAATATTCCTCAGTATGCAAAATGTCTGTGGAATAGGCACCCTTTGGATACTATGCAGCAATTTTAAAAAGCAAGTTACAAAACAATGTGTTCATTGTGATATCGTCCATCTAAACACACATAATAATGTTACATAGAAATACGTGTATGCAAATACATATGTATATATATAATTTCATGTGTATATTCAATATCTAATGATGAAGAATTATGTGCTTTTATTGTGTTATTTCCACACTCTAACTTAATCTTTTGAGTATTTATAGCTCAATGGTATAACTGTATACTTAATGAATAAATGTATTTTCTTATCTGCTAACTTGAGGGAATTGCTCGGAAAAGTAATTTACGCATTGAGAAAGGATTGCGAATAGGTCTGCATGAGTCAGTTCTCATAACCGGAGACACATCACTTGGAATTCTGTAACTGTCTTTGACAGAGTGGCTATGGGTGCTCTGTAGTTTTACTGGATTACGGTTCACTGGCAGAAACAGGTGAATGCTTTAGGTATGATGAGACAATTTATTTCCTTGGCTATCCGTGACTGTAACGTTCATCCTTGATTTATTCATCGCTATTTTTCCTTATACACTAAGCATACATATTAATTGTAAGATACACTTGGGTTTCACAAATGATCAAATGTGAAAAAAGTCTTAAATGCAAGTATCCATGATGTTTAAAAGGCATTTCTGTTTACTTTGATAAGGAGAAATGATGAAAGAGGGCAGCTTGTTATACCATGAAATCTCATAGATTTTTCCATTTATCATGGTTACTGATTTCCAATGCCATATTTTTATTTTTCAGTCCCTTTTTAGTGGAAGAGTGCATTGTTTGCATTGCTTTTCTTTTGCCTATAACTGATCACCCAGCTTCAATTTCCTTTAGGGCTTTTTTAACATAAAAACCTATTCACTACTATACCGCAGACTTACTCAGATTTCTTTTCTTTTTTTCTTTTTGGTTGTGGGGGAAGAGAACTCACTTGGGGCCAGATGTTTTAAAAATCAGAAATCATCTGATCTGAAATCAGATAACATAATATTTATGCCACACTATATGACACACCCAAGGGGGCTGCGATGGTACAACTTATCCAAATGCATTAACATTGCACCAGCAAAATAGATTTATATATTATATTTACATAATAAATTATAAAGACTATATTTAGCCTCATATAGGTGTAGGGCATGTCTTACTGCCAATGAACTTGTGCCAAATTTAGAAAATATATTTTATTGCATTGCAGGTAGGGGATTATATGACCGTAATATCTATACACATGTGTTTGCATACACACATACACACACATACCCCCATATATAGTTTTTTTAACATTTTTTATTGATTTATAATCATTTTACAATGTTGTGTCAAATTCCAGTGTAGAGCACAATTTTTCAGTTATACATGAACATATACATATTCATTGTCCATATATAGTTCTTATATCAATCCAAAGATGTTAGGGTTAGTAGCTTCATTATTTAATAAACATTTAGATTTAACGTCCATCTTTATTTACATACTTTACTTGGCTGTGTAAAGGGTGTTTTTTTGTGGGGTTTTTTTTTTTCCCTCCTGTCAAGGTACAGTGTGGAAACCTCTGTAATTTGAAGAAATAATAATGTTTTCTTTTTCTAAGCAATTTTACTGTGTCAGTAGGGAATGGAAACAACCATTAGGGACATTCCAAAAGCGTAGGCTTTATAAATAAGAGTCCAGTTTGAATCCCAGCTGCATCCTTAGTTGGCACATAATGAAATATCAACAGGAGCTCATGTAAGTCCACCTTGGATTCATGTAGCTCACCAATTGTTAGAGGCTGGTTAGTGGTTAACTTTGGGGAGGAGGAAAGGAGTAGTGATGGTAAGGGCAAAGGGAGGCCCTTAGATGTTAATATTTTATTTCTTGATTTTGGTGGTTGTTACACGACTGTTTATCTTGCGGTAATTTCATCAGGCTGTACAATTATGATGCCTGAAACTTGCTGCATGTACTGCTTCAGGAAGTATATTTAAATGTTTATTAGTTAAAAAGAAAAAAGAAAAAGGATCCTAAAAAGTAGTGAGAGACTTCTATAATCCACAAACCCAGTGGGGAAAATATTTTATAAAACCCACGCCTAAAATAAAAAACATTGAATAATATCACAGTTACTATTAAAACTAGGTAGAAAATACAAAATTTTAGTGATTATCCACAAGTTGATGTACATCTAGGCAGTAGTTAGTAAATGCTGTTTAGAGATTAATGTGCAGATTGAATAAAACTCTTTGATTAGGAGATTTTTCCTGCTACCTCTGGAGTTCTGAGATGTCACTCGCCAAGCTTTAGGAATGATTATCATGAAATAGTAACCACAACAGTGTAAATGGTTTAGTATTTTTATTACACAAGTTTTTAAAAGATAAATCAGAAGAAAATTTGCAAGCATCACGTATTTTTTTTTACTCTGAAGACTAGTGTTTTACGAAAGACAGTTTGGGAAATGTTGGCTTAGATTTTAACCTTATGGGTAATGGGAAGCTATTTAGTATTTTAAGAGTGGGAATGACAGTCTCCTTTTCAGCAGTGGATTTGTCTACTAAAAGTAGAGAAATAACAGTCATGGGATGGTTTCAGTAGTTAAGGCAAGAGGTGATGAGAACCTTAATTCTGTTGATTAGAAGGGTCAGTTGAGAAGAGAGAGCTGATGGAAGAAATTTCAAGGTGGTGAAGTGGACAGGCAAGGCAGCGGACACTGTGATGCAGGCCCGGATGCCTCCTGAGTGATGTTCCCTTGCTCCAGTTGCTGGGAGTGCCATTGGCAGACAGCCGTGAACTGCCAGCCCCTCCAGGGACAGTCTCAGCAGCAGAGGGACCTTGACCACATGCAGCAGCTGACGAGGAGCAGTCTCAGCGTCGTAAATGTGCACCCTCTGCAGCCACGCAGAAGGGGCTAGGGCTTGGCTTCATGTTCTGCTGTCGCCCTCTTGGAAATCTTAATTTTTAAACAGAGCCTTGCATTTTCAGTTTGCCCTGGACCCTGCAGATCATGTAGCTGGTATTGATGATGGTGGATACAGGCCTTGCTGTCTAAGCCCGTTCAAGGCAACTCTCAGAAGTCCCCTCTAGCTTTCAAGCTCCTGATGGAGCCAGCTCAGGCAGTTGTTAGGGCTGCTGTAGAGCTTGACTTCACACCTTCTGCTGCTTAATCCTGGTGGGTTTCCCTTTCTTCTACAGGTGTTGGTCCCAGGGTCACTCCTTCATGAACTTCTGGCCCACTGACCTCCACCTTAGGGTCTGCCTCCTGGTGTACTCAGTCTGCAACTGGGGCATTTTGAATGTGGGAGCCGAGGGTGAGAGAGGAGTCAAGGACAACTCTGAGCTTGTTGGCCTTGACTTAGTAGATGGTGATGCCACGTATTCACAGAGAAGGGCACTCAAAAGAGGAGGAGCAGTTTGAAGAGAGAACAATGACACATGAGGCATTGTCATATTAAGAGTTTAAGATTTCAGTTTTGTACTTTTAATTTTGATGTGACTGAAGGCCACCCAGGAGGAGATGACTAGTTGTGAGATGTTAACCTGCACAGAGGTTTGGATTGGGGTCATGGGCTGATTGCAAGGAGTGAGTGTCATTGCCCAAGAATAGTGTATAGACAGAGGGCTACAAGGAGACAACCACTAAGAGCTGAGCAAACATCCTACAGAGGGGAGGAGAAAGAGCCACCTGGGAGAGAGGAGAGCCAGGAGAGTGTGTGTGTGGACAGGAGCCTGATGGAAGTGTGTTGACATGTATGGTATTCGGAGGTAAGAAAGGGGAGACCAGAGACGCAAGCCATTTCATCCTGGAATGTGATTGTGAAAGGAAGGCGAGAGACTGGGGCTGCTGGTAGAGGTACAAGCTCAAGGAAGATTTTTAAAATGTTTTTAAAGTGAAAAGCAGGTTATTTATTTTGCACACCTTTCTTAGAAGAGGCATTCTAGAATGACTGGGATAAATGGTAGCTTTTCTGTTAGTCTTTGAATCAAGCCTTCACGTCTCTCTCCCCTATACCTCCTTTAAAATGGTGGCATTTAATTCTAGCTTTTGTCAAGTGGAAATTTCCTTGGAAATCCTTCAAAATGGGTGGGGCTTTTAAACTAGGGGAAATGATGAACCTCGTCTCCCTGGTTCATCCCGGTTTCAGATTTTTGCAGAGTGGCAAATCACTAGAGGGCGTACCTGTCACATTGCCTTAGAAACGGGATGGCTGTTGGTGAATTCAGGGAGAGTCCAGAGGAGGGCTGAGAGGACGAGGGAAGACTTTAACACTGTGTCTTGGTGTTTAGGTCTCGATCAAAGGTAGTGAGGCCCCAGGGATCACCTCTTGGTTTTGGCTTTTGTGGTAGGACATTATTGACAAGCCGGAGGATAACGAAGATATCCTCTTCCTTTTTGCCTTCAAAAATTACTTTATTTGCCTTCATTGTTTTCATTTGATCTGATCTGTTTCCTCTATCGTTTCTTAAGCAAACATTTGTTAAGCACTGCCATGATTATTCAGGCACACCAGATGCTGGTGACATGACAGTGAACAAAACAGACAAAAATCTTTGCCATCATGGAGCGTATATTCTAGTGTGAGACCAAAAATAAACAAGATAAGTTAATTTATATAGTATATTATAAGCTGTTATATGCTGTGGAGAAAGGGAGTTTCAATCAGGCTACCTGCTTATACAGTTTGTCCTACATTAAGGCTATTTGGCAAGTCATAAGTAGGGGCTGAACCAGGGTCAGTCTGCTGGGGAGAAGGGTGCCTTTTCCTGACTAATCATGGTGGGGCTTCAGGAGGTGACCAAAATATCTGCCTTTAAATGGGGCACTCCTTGAAATGTCCTTTTGGCAATATTGAGTTCCTGAACTTTTTTTTGGAAAGGCTGACATTTTACTTAGAGGAAAAAAAATTTTTTTGAAGGAGGGAGGAAATTAGGTTTATTTATTTATTTATTTATTTATTTATTTATTTAATGGAGGTACTGGGGATTGAACCCAGGACCACATGCATGCTAAGCCCACACTCATATCACTGAGCTATACCTTCCCCACCAAGTTCCTGAACTTTTGAAGTCTTCACCTAAATTTTACAAACCCCATACTATTACTCTAAGCCTTTTTTGTTGATGAAAAAAATCAGGTATTTTAGAATTAAGACCTTACTAAAGTCCACAGCATTCCATCAATTGTATTCACCTTATCTACATAACCTGTCAGCTGTCTTCGAATAGCCAGTGGGTTTGATGGGATTTCTCCTTCAGAGAGTCAGGCTGAGCATTCCTCCATACCTGGCGTTGTTGATATTTTTGCATTAATTATATGACGATTAAATCCAATATCTTTTTGGGACTTCAAGTGAAGCTGAATAGTCTATGATTTATGGGGCTATGACATGTTTTCTTTAAAAATGAACATAACTTCTGCCCTTTTCAGACATAGCACAGATGTCCTGTCTTCCAGTATTTCTTAGAGCTAATGGCTTGGCAGTGTGGGCTAATTTCTTGGGTATTTTAAGTTGGATGCCAATTAGCCTTCTCTATCTAAAACACATTTCAACATTTTCTTCCCAAGACAAGTCAGTCTTGACTTGTCTGCCACTCTCTTTTGGTATAGATGGTGCATATTACGTGTATGAAATTGCAGTAACTTGTTTAAAAAGTTAAGATTGAGGCTTGAGAACTTCTAGTCTATTTAGAGAGATCAGCTATGAAGTATCGCATGTAAAAAGAGGGCAACATTTTCACTGCACTTCTTGTTTCTCCTGATACCATTAATAATGTTTTCTTTCTACTTTTTATTTTCCTTGCAATTTATTATTTTGCTTGGGCAACTGATTTTGTCCTGTAAGCCTCTGTACTCTCAATGAGAATGAGACCTTGTGGTTAGTCTCAGAATGGTAGAAAATCCAATTTAGAGCTGGTAGAGGAAAAGACAGAGACAGACACTGGCCTGTGCGGGTGAAGATCATTCTAACCACTTTGGATAGTAAGAAAATTAAGTGCTAATTAGAATTATTGAGCCTCATTGTCTTTTCCTATTTATTCTATTTCTCTCTGCCTCTGTCTTTCTCTACCACCTTGCCAAGCATCCTCAGTGACTCTTTTCTTGGGTTAAAGCCAGATGCTCAGTCACTGCAAGAGTCCTTCCCAGTGAAAGCACCAACCGTTTCTCGAGTCTGTCTTCATTTACCTTTAAATTTTTCTCCCCTTTATTCATCTTCATTACATTCTCTTGGTGTCTATTGGTGAAGGGATGCAGTTCTTCAAATACAGTCTAATTGCAGCAAAGTTAAATTGGAAACAGAAAGAGAAGCTGACTATGCTGAATATATTCCATATTTATTCTAAATTTCTTTAAACCTCAGGTACATATGCCTACATTCATGACTCTCTCTCTCTCCCTCTGTATATATATATATATATATATATATATTATATATATATATATATACACATATATATAATATATATAATATATATAAGAAAAGGAGAAGAAAAAGGGTCTGTCCTTTCTTCCCTGCAAAATGGTATCACACATGACCGTGAGAGACTGAATATACAAATGGACAATGGCTGGACCGTATATAAAAATAGAACTCTGGCTCCCAACCTGCAGGAACCTGTGCAGGAAATCAACTCCCTTATCTATAATAAACAGCCCAGGAAGCCAGCCAGCTATAAATGGAGGGGACACACTTGGAATTCCAGAGTTGATATGAAGATTACTTTAAACTGAAGACATCTGAGTTTCAGCATATTCAGAGAGAAGGCTTCTTGGAGCTTCGTTTATCTCACAAAAAGTAGCACCTCCTGGGAAATGAGGCTAGCTATTTGGGACACTAGGAGGTGAACTCCCTGGTCTAGTGAGGACAATGAAGAGGGGGATATTGCGGTGATCGACGATGAAATGGATAAAATCCCCCCCCCCACAATCCGGTCCCTAGTGCAGAGGAAAGGCAAGCACAGCAACCGTAGTCCCAGGCAGCAGGGCAACATCCAGCTCGGGAAATGTTCAGGAGAGAATAGACTCACCTGAGCTTGCTGTTACAGCCACCAAGTTCCAGGGAAAGGCCAGAGAGAGCCCCCGCCAGGCTGGTGCGACGATGGGACGCGGGTGCGATGGCGGTTCTCTGACTGGGCAGGAGGCAGAGAAGATGAGCAACATCACCACCCACACACCCTGCCCTCTGGAAGGGCCTGCATGGTGCTCAGGCGGTTCAAGGAACTCACCCCTTGTAGATTGGCTTGTTCTAGCCTGTAGAGAGGCTTGGCCAATGATGGGGAACCTCCCTGGGCATGTGGGAACCTGGGAACCTATGCAGGAGATACAACGAATTCTTAGGGAGTTGGGAATGAGACAGGCAATCTATGCTCCTGTCTTTAAAGGTCCTGAGCCAGTCACATTCACTGCAGAAGTGAAAGCGAAAATATTTCAAGTCTATCCTCAGCACCTGCTACGAGATGCTGGTATCCATGCTGAGCCCAGTCATAGAACAAGACGTTTATGGTGTTGGGCAATCCATTGCTGATCTGGGGGAAACTGACGATTCCCAGGAACAGGTATGAGCTATGGGAAAGGCAGACGGAGAGGGAACTTGAAAAGCCAAAAGGCTATCCCAATCCTCTATATAGGGTTTGGCAAAAGTAACCCAGAAACAAGTGTGGTTTGACGTCATTGCTACCAGAAGTCCATGTGAAAAGACAGACCAGCAAGCCAATGCTATGTTGTTGGCCTGTGGGAAGCCTTAAAACCTGAACATGACCTCAGACCTGCCACACCTGCCCCTACCAGTCCATCTCCTCAGGCCGGACAGCGCTGCCTTCTCTGGCCAACGTGTATGCACAACCAGGAACATTCCTAAAGCTGCAGCCACATTTACATCTGAGGCTCAGGCCACAAGTGTAATTCTTACAGAAAAAGAAGACCATTCTATACAGTTCTTACTACATATGTTTTTTTGATCTTGGACTCCTGCTGCTCCTGTGGCATCTGGTCATGGGATGGGCACCTTATGGAAATATTTGTCTACAGTGGGCCCACGTGTGTGCCTGGTAAAGCAATCCATCCAACTATTGGGTACGTGGGCAGCTGCCCCTCTAGCTCGTCAGGACTTGATGGTGGGTATCAGCCCTCCCGGGAGGAGACTGGAAGGCCCTGCAGCAGCACACTGAGGAAGAACAAGGTAGGGCTAGTAGTCTTAATTCACCTGGTGTCACCAATACTGATCCAGAAACCTGGCCTGAGTTTCACAGTATCAGTAACTCTGGGCGCAGGTGTTCTTTTTCTGTGAACCAACACAGGCAGCCCATCAAACTGCTGACCTGAAGGGTCCTAAAAGTACCACCATCAGAGCCACGGGTGGCTATACTTAGACTTGGGGTGGGTTCATATCGTTCACCCAGGGTTATGCACATTTGAACCCAGGCACCCCTCTGCTGGAGACAGAAAAGTCACTCTAAACAGAACCAACACAGTTACATCAGGGCTATGGGGTGAATATCATTGGAACTGTGTAGTCATTCTGTCAGATTAAAGGATAGTGACTAGTTGGGCACTGGTTGGTCGTACCTCCCAGGTGTACCTCTCAGGTATTTGTTGGGTAGCCCCGAATAGGTAGCCATGGCTTCTACCTGGGTGGTTGTGCCATGGGACCCTGGGTTCCCCTGGGTACAGGGGAGAATCCTCCCACAGTAACAAAAATTGCTAACCTCCCTCTCCTCGAGCCCAGATGATCACATCCTGTTTCCCGCTGGTATAATCATCTGGCCGCCATCCTGGTCCACCTCTGGCCTGGAGGACATTATTCCACACGCAGAAGCCTTTATTAAATCACCCAGAAAACCTTAATGGCAGCCAGCAAAGCCTGTCCTTACCAAACACTGACATGTCTCTTGGTATTTGGACATTATGCTGAGAGTATCATGGCCTTGGACATTATTACTGCCTCACAAGGAATCATCTGTGCCATTACCCAAACAGTGTTGTGTATTCATACCTGATGAATCTGCTAATGTATCATCTTTATTAAGTCACATAGAGACACAAGTAAATTTCCTAAGTGATCTAACCCTCAGCCCAGGAGATTTAATAAATCAGTGATCTGGATCAGGGGACTCTTGGTGGAAAAAAATTTTTACTTACTTTGGGAATCGTTATCCTAATAGGTGTTTTCTCCTGCTTGTGCCTCTGTTGCTGCTGTGGTATCTTCCTTCAGCGCAGGCGGAGAGCCTGAGCCACCTACATGCTGCCGAAGCCCCTTGCTGACCTTTCTGGGCGCACTGCGGAAGAGGAGGGCGTGTGAAATTGTAGGAGTCGGTCACGAGGGTGGAGGGCGGGAGAGGTCATAGAGAGGACGTGCCTGCTCGTTGACCTGTGAGCTGGATCCAGGAATCAGACACTTCCTCTCTCCTCCCCTGTCCTTGGGATGTATGTTCTGCCCACCATTCCTACAGCTGGAACCATTTTCAAGGATGCAGCCTTGAGACATCAAGGTGTGATTGAGACCATCTCGATTGTGTACGTGAGTGAACCCAGGTACAGCCTCTGTATAAACTTTTAAGATTCTGTGGTGGGTGCAGAGATTTACTCGTTTTGTGGCTGCCGCGGCCAAGCTTCGTAAGTAAGTTGTGTTGCGTGTTAAACCTGCTGCCTACCAATCTCGGGTGGCTACCTCTGTCGTCAGCCTCTCTGTCCTCTGTATTCGGGGGCCAGTTACAGTGTTCACTCAGGAAGCTTCCGAGTTTTTGCACCAATGCACCGTTTTGATAGCAAGCTCTGAGTGAGCAGCTTTGGCTTTTCTCCTTTGGTTGGTCTTGCTTTATTTCCACAACCATGTGTTTTATTCATACCATTTAGACGAGATCGGGCACGTTCAGGGTGGTATGGCCGTAGACTCATTCGTACCATTTAGAAATCTCTTTGGAATAACTTGCAAAGTGAAATAAAGAAAAATAAATATTTATTTGCTTTGATACTTTCTATGTATGTTTTATTTCTTCAAGTTCTCTACTGAGGTTTTGAAATTCTCTCTGGTGCAGGTAGTACAAAAATCTTATTTGAAGCAAATCAGTTAATCCTAAAGAGGACAGAAAAATCAATAAGAGGTAGCTGCAAATAAACCTACTATTCTCTAAGCTCTTGAAAAGCCTCAAACAGCACAAATCGTCTGCATTTTAATAAAAGTATTTACACCCTGATTTTAGTTGTAAAGGAGATGAGAAAATTTAAGTATTAACAGCCTGGGACTCTGAAAACGAAGTGTTTTGTCTCAGCTTTTTCTGTCAGAGAAAAAAGGTCTTCAGAAATTTCGTAAAGTTTTACATTTGAAGCAGCTTTTGTCAGTAGCCCTCCACACGCATCACGACTACCAACCACCAAAAAGGTACAGAGAGTAAATACCCCAGGCTAGCTAAGCCTGGAGCAATTAAAATACCACTAGATTCTGGATAGATTAATGTTTATGCTAATACTTTTACACAGTGAGATTTGGAAACAGCCTTACCCTCAACTGCCAAAAGTCAGCTGGTGCAAATGGACTTGGACTGTGGAGTGGGAATTGGGGGTAGGGGCTGGAATGTGTCTGAGATATTATATTTGATTTTATATAATTAAGTTCCTAGTTCAGTGGTGGGAACCTGAGGCACAATTTAGAAGTAACTGGTAACATTTCTCTCTGGGAATGCTGTAAAGGAAATTGATAATTTGATAAACTAAAATTTTTTGTGGAAGGCCACAAAATGATCTCTGGAGTCTCATTTAATTCCAATCCTGAAGGATTCTGAATTGCTTTCATTCCTGGATATCTAGTCATGTCTTCTTTGCTGTTAGTACTTCTGCGATTTATAGAACTGAAACACATTAAAGCATAACTACACATATTTAAAACATTGTTAATACCGGCTAAGTTTTTTTTCCCTCTCAGAATAGTTCTTGACAAAAAAAAGCAAAACTCAACATGCAGAGTGGAAAGAGCAGGGCCTTTGAGGCCAGACCGACTTGGGTTTGACTGTCCACCTGCATATAATGATTAGCATGTGGTTTGGGGTTGGTTAGCCTTATGTTTGTGTGTGACCAGAGCCTCTGGACACTGTTTTCAACGTCTTTTAAATTGGTGTAAAAATATTTATCTCCCAAAGGCTTTGGTGAGAATTAACTGTA